ATTTATATATATTCCATATATATATAAAAACGAAGAATACATCAAAAATGCATGTGGGTACTCAAATGAAAGCTCTTGATGAGTGTAACATCGAGACGAGCTTATATCTTTAAAATATATATTATATATACCTATATATGAAAAATATATCAAAAATGTATGTGGGTACTCAAATGAAAGCTTTTAATGAGTGTAACATCAGGATGAGCTTATATCTTCAAAAATGTCAATATTTAAGAAAGTACAGTGCAATTTAACAAAAGTCATTATTTAATAAATCAAAATTTTATTTATGCATAAATCACTAGTCATTGCAGTCACGTAGTGACTGCAAGATTGCTAGTAAATAATTATTTTACTACCAATAAACTGAGAAAAATAAAATTATTATGAAAATTTATTTTAAATTTTATCTAAATTATTTCAATTTAAATAAAATTAAATGTCTATTATAATAAAGACAAATATTGATTATTTTCTCAAAAAATTAATTAATTCTCCAGTTAAGAAACCTTTCTCTAGACAATAATTTGTTAATTTTCTCAGTGTACTTCGCGCCAAAGCTATCAGTATCTAAAATACGTATTAAATATCTAAAAAAAAATTTTTTTCTATCGATTTTAAGAAAGAATAATTTAATAAAAATCTCAAAACTTACTTCACCATCGCTGTCAAAATAAGCAAGATAATATCTTGTCAGCACGAACCATCTTTGTTTGTAATTGATTGGTGTGAATCTTTTTTTATTCTGGGACCTCTTAACCATGTAGCCCTGTTTCACGACTTCTCGCTTGGATTCCACCTTCCCGTCTTTCCCAACCATCCTGAAGGAAACGCGGCCTAAAAAATACATTCCAGAGGCATTACACATACATCAAAAAATAAAAAAAAAAAAACAACAATCCGGCTTGAAAAAAAAAACTTAAAAAACTAATTTATAATAATAAAAAAAAAAAATACTCTACAAAAAAAATTAATGCATAAATAAATTTATAAATATTAATGAAAAATAAAAAAATAAATATTTATTACCAATAAAATTTTGATTTAACGACAAAATAGAATCCGGCATTTTATAAACCAATTTTAAACTGTAATTATTTCACAGAATTGAACAATTTACCAGCAATAAAAAACAACAATAAATTATTTATTAAATACATAAATTTTTTTCGCTCAACAATAGCTAATAAATGAAATGAAAAAGATGAATAATAGTCAAGACATATAGTTTGTGGTTATCCTGAGTTTTATCATCATTTCCGTAGACACGATAAACACGTTTTGATATATCACGCTTAAGAGTACGCGAATAACAATCCACAGAACAAATTTATTATCGACAATTAATTATTTTTTTTATTTGTATATTATATATATATATTTTTACTTACCATACACTCTGTTTTATTTACAACCCTAAAATTGTAATAATTGTCAAAAACATGACCGGTTCATGAAGGTAATAACAAAAAAATCACGTGGAAATAAACGCGCGCGCCACGCCAATCTGTCAAATAAAATCCCTCGGATACTCAATGGACTAAAAACAAAATGACACTGAAGTTAGCTGACGTTTAAAAATTTACCCGACATTTTTGATTTTTTTAATTTTACTTAATTTATTAAATTATAACTAAAAAAATATTTCTAAAAAATTGCACTTGTAGTTTTTCAAGTTTTTTACATGTGTAATTTTTATTTTAATTGTTCAATTAAAATTTCTTCAATAAAAAATTTCTAAAAATTTTGAAATGTCAGCTAACTTCATTTACATTAAAAATTTTTAATTTTTTTTATTAATTAAATTACAACTAAAAAGATATTTAGATATTTTTAAAAAATTGTACTTATAGTTTATTACATGTGCAATTTTTTTTTTAATTGTTTAATCGAAATTTTGAAATTTCATTTTTATAAAACTAAATATATATAACACTGAATTAAGACACTGAAGTTGTTAATTGTTAAAAATTTTTTTTAAATTTTTAATGAAAATTAAGTTAGCCAACATCTAAAAATTTATATGATTTTTTTTATTAAAGAATTATTACAAAAAAAAATTTTTTATTTGTTAAAAACTTCAAAAACTATAAGTGCAATTTTTTAAAAATATTTTTAATTCTAAATTAATAAATTAAACAAAATAAAAAAATTAAAAATATCAGCTAACTTTATTATTTTTAAAAAATATTTTTTGTTTTAATTTAATTGTTAAAAAAAAAAATTAAAAACGTCCCCTAATTTTAGTATTATACCTATTAAATAATTATAAAATAAAATTAATTAAAAAGATCGACGTGAAAATTTGATTAAAATTATAAGTCAAAATTTTGACAAGTATTTTTTTATTTTTTTATTGCAATTTATTTATTAAAAAAAATTTTTAAATTGACAGCTGACAGCTAACTTCAGTATCATCACTGCATTATTCAAAATAAATACTCAATAATATAAATAAATTATTTTTATTTAACAAATACTCACCACATAACTTCAATTATTTTTTTTTCCAAGATTTCTTCTTAAAAAAATTCCAATTTGTAAAATTAAACAGCTGTCAAAATTTACAAGTATTTTTTTGACAGTTCTAACCTCACTAGCGTAGTAAATAATAAAAATTCTTATTAAAAAATATACAAAACAAAATGGCGACGAGTTTATTTTTGTAGATTGTTGGCGTAGATGTAACAACTGACAGAATTTTCACAGAAAACTGTAAAAATAAAATAAAAGTGAGTATTTAATAACTTTTAAATATTTTAAATAATTTTTTTAATACATTTTTATTTTTTTTTAGGTGGTTATTTTATAATATATAATCTTAGCGAGCTAACCTACTTATTTCTGAAATATTGATCGAGAAATAATTAAAAATAATTTATTTATCTCTCTCCAAGGAAGAGAAGAATTAAGATGGCTAATTCAGACACGATCCAAGTAAGTTCCTTACCGTTACCGCCGCTCCAGTACATAAACTTGTACACTGACGAAAAAAAAAAAAACTTAAAAAACTAATTTATAATAATAAAAAAAAAAAATACTCTACAAAAAAAATTAATGCATAAATAAATTTATAAATATTAATGAAAAATAAAAAAATAAATATTTATTACCAATAAAATTTTGATTTAACGACAAAATAGAATCCGGCATTTTATAAACCAATTTTAAACTGTAATTATTTCACAGAATTGAACAATTTACCAGCAATAAAAAACAACAATAAATTATTTATTAAATACATAAATTTTTTTCGCTCAACAATAGCTAATAAATGAAATGAAAAAGATGAATAATAGTCAAGACATATAGTTTGTGGTTATCCTGAGTTTTATCATCATTTCCGTAGACACGATAAACACGTTTTGATATATCACGCTTAAGAGTACGCGAATAACAATCCACAGAACAAATTTATTATCGACAATTAATTATTTTTTTTATTTGTATATTATATATATATATTTTTACTTACCATACACTCTGTTTTATTTACAACCCTAAAATTGTAATAATTGTCAAAAACATGACCGGTTCATGAAGGTAATAACAAAAAAATCACGTGGAAATAAACGCGCGCGCCACGCCAATCTGTCAAATAAAATCCCTCGGATACTCAATGGACTAAAAACAAAATGACACTGAAGTTAGCTGACGTTTAAAAATTTACCCGACATTTTTGATTTTTTTAATTTTACTTAATTTATTAAATTATAACTAAAAAAATATTTCTAAAAAATTGCACTTGTAGTTTTTCAAGTTTTTTACATGTGTAATTTTTATTTTAATTGTTCAATTAAAATTTCTTCAATAAAAAATTTCTAAAAATTTTGAAATGTCAGCTAACTTCATTTACATTAAAAATTTTTAATTTTTTTTATTAATTAAATTACAACTAAAAAGATATTTAGATATTTTTAAAAAATTGTACTTATAGTTTATTACATGTGCAATTTTTTTTTTAATTGTTTAATCGAAATTTTGAAATTTCATTTTTATAAAACTAAATATATATAACACTGAATTAAGACACTGAAGTTGTTAATTGTTAAAAATTTTTTTTAAATTTTTAATGAAAATTAAGTTAGCCAACATCTAAAAATTTATATGATTTTTTTTATTAAAGAATTATTACAAAAAAAAATTTTTTATTTGTTAAAAACTTCAAAAACTATAAGTGCAATTTTTTAAAAATATTTTTAATTCTAAATTAATAAATTAAACAAAATAAAAAAATTAAAAATATCAGCTAATATTATTTTTTAAAAAAATATTTTTTTGTTTTAATTTAATTGTTAAAAAAAAAAATTAAAAACGTCCCCTAATTTTAGTATTATACCTATTAAATAATTATAAAATAAAATTAATTAAAAAGATCGACGTGAAAATTTGATTAAAATTATAAGTCAAAATTTTGACAAGTATTTTTTTATTTTTTTATTGCAATTTATTTATTAAAAAAAATTTTTAAATTGACAGCTGACAGCTAACTTCAGTATCATCACTGCATTATTCAAAATAAATACTCAATAATATAAATAAATTATTTTTATTTAACAAATACTCACCACATAACTTCAATTATTTTTTTTTCCAAGATTTCTTCTTAAAAAAATTCCAATTTGTAAAATTAAACAGCTGTCAAAATTTACAAGTATTTTTTTGACAGTTCTAACCTCACTAGCGTAGTAAATAATAAAAATTCTTATTAAAAAATATACAAAACAAAATGGCGACGAGTTTATTTTTGTAGATTGTTGGCGTAGATGTAACAACTGACAGAATTTTCACAGAAAACTGTAAAAATAAAATAAAAGTGAGTATTTAATAACTTTTAAATATTTTAAATAATTTTTTTAATACATTTTTATTTTTTTTTAGGTGGTTATTTTATAATATATAATCTTAGCGAGCTAACCTACTTATTTCTGAAATATTGATCGAGAAATAATTAAAAATAATTTATTTATCTCTCTCCAAGGAAGAGAAGAATTAAGATGGCTAATTCAGACACGATCCAAGTAAGTTCCTTACCGTTACCGCCGCTCCAGTACATAAACTTGTACACTGACGAAAATGTACGCCGAGGGAGAGCTCCCAAGCCTCCACCACCTATCCTTGACAACTATTCTATGTTTGGGAATGGTTTCACTGCAGACGATACTATTATCAGGCCTCTGGAGGCCCAGGGTATCAGGAGACTTTATCCTCAGAACTTTGATCGGCGCCGAGAGCTAAAAAAACTCAACCACTCGCTTCTGGCCAACTTCCTGGACCTTATTGATCTTCTGGTGCATTGTCCAGACAGCCCTAAAAGGGCAGAGAAGGTAAATACTCTGGATATTCTAGTTAACTGACATGCTTTTTATTTGCTTCATTGAATAATGACTTTTGTTAAATTGGACTGTACTTTCTTAAATATTGGATTTTTAAAGATATAAGCTTATCTTGACGTTACACTCATCAAGAGCTTTCATTTGAGTACCAACATGCATTTTTGATATATTTTTCATATATACATATATGTGATATATATTATATATCACATATATAAAAAATTGATGTTGGTACTCAAATGAAAGATCTCGATGAGTGTAATGTCATGATGAGCTTATATCTTTAAAAATGTCATTAGTTAACAAAATACGGTGTCATTTCTTAACTATTGATGTTTTTTAAGATATCTTGTTAACTAATGACATTTTTAAAGAATTTAGCTCATCCCGATGGTACTTTCATCAAGAGCTTTCATTTGAGTACCCACATGCATTTTTGATATATTTCTCATATATACATATATATATATAATATATATAAATGTATATGAAAAATTGATGTTGGTACTCAAATGAAAGCTCTTGATGAGTGTAACATCGAGATGAGCTTATATCTTTAAAAATGTCAATATTTCACAAAATACAAGGTCATTTCTTAATTATATATCTAGAGATAGAGCATTTTCGAATGCAGCCTAAATACTTACCATACTAAATTTCACTAAATAAATCGATTTTATCATATCACAATCCTGAACACAAATTTTATTTTATTCTCTTAATAATATAGATTATTAATGGAAATTTCATGTTCATCAATTAACTGTAATATAGTCTTAAAATATTTTTACATAATAGTAATAGTGATAAATAATTCCAGGTTGAAGATTTAAGCCTCCTTTTTATTCACATCCATCATCTTCTAAATGAATTCCGACCGCATCAAGCCAGAGAAACTTTGAGGGTGATGATGGAGCTGCAGAAGCGACAGCGGATAGAAACAGCGCTAAGATTTCAAAAACATTTAGACAGAGTTCAGAAAATCCTCCAGCATGCGTTGCAGACGTTACCTGATACGTCAGAATTAGATTGCAAGCTGTCAATCAACACTGAGACCATGGAGTGCAGCGATAGTTTAAGTTCCGAACAGCAGAACATTGATCCTTGCAGCACAAATGACAGGATAATGTGCAAAATGATCGACGATATGATGACGTCTAATATTTTTTAATTTAGCAAATTTAGCTGAGGAATTTTATTTAAATTGTAAGTACCTTACGTAATTTTTTAAATCTAATGTATATATTGGACTGAAAAAGGTTTTTTTTTAATAAAGAAATTAATAAAAAAAACAATAATAATAATTTCTTAATAAATAATCGGAGTGAACAATTACATCTTTACACGATTTGTCGTAAAGATAATTAATAAAAAATTTTTAATTATTGTATACTCACCCGAATATGGTATGAGTGTTCTTTAATAAATAATAAATATTAATAATAATAACTAGCGACCTTGCAGTCACTATGTGATTGCAGTTACTTGTGAACCATAAATGAATAAAATTTTGCTTAATTTAATAAAGACATTTGTTAAATTGCATTGTAATTTTTTAACTATTAACATTTTTAAAGATATAAGCTCATCCTGATATTAAACTTATCAAGAGCTTTCATTTGAGTACACACATGCAATTTTGATATATTTTTCACATATACATATATATATATAATATATATAAATATATAAAAAATTGATGTAGGTACTTAAATGACAGGTCTCGATGAGTGTAATGTCAGAGTGAGCTTATATCTTTAAAAATGTCAATATTTTACAAGATATTTGTTGAATTGCACTGTACCTTCTTAACTATTGACCTTTTTAAAGATATAAGCTCATCCCGATGTTACACTCATCAAGAGCTTTCATTTGAATACCCACATGAATTTTTGATATATTTTTCATATATATGATATATATAAATATATATCATATATATAAATATATGAAAAATTGATGTGGGTACTCAAATGAAAGGTCTCGATGAGTGTAATGTCAGAGTGAGCTTATATCTTTAAAAATGTCAATAATTCACAAGATACAAGGTCATTTCTTTATTATGTATTTAGAGAGAGTATTTTCGAATGCAGCCTAAATACTTATCACCATAAAGACCCATTTTATTATATAAATTCACTGGCCACAAAATTTTGCTTATTTTCTTTATTATAATAATAATAATAATAATAATAATAATAATAATAATAATAATAATAATAATGATAATGATAAAGAAATTTTTTGTTATATAACGTATCATTTTATTGAGACATTTATATTTAAAATTCATTAACACACTATCAAGAACATAAAGGTACCGACAATTGAGGTAAGGTTTGAGGACAGGTCAACAGGTGTAGAAAACTCACCTTATAAATCGGCTACTAGGAAAAAAAATTTAATAAAATTACAAATTAAATTATTACTGGAGACAATAACTGGACAAACTGACTGTACCTGAAAAAAAAAAAAATTGTTTATTAACGGCAAGCGTTCATTGGCATGGTCCTTGGATCCTTGGTCTGGAAAAAAATAAATTATTTTTCAGCAGCCGGGTTGACTCGGAAATCTGAAAAATATTAAATTTTATTAGAAGTTAAAGAAACATTCAATTTTTAATAAAAAAAAAATTTTAATTTTTAATTTTTAAATTAATCTCAATTTAATTGAAAATTTAGAATGTTTCTTTAACAATAACAAGAACAAAGTATTTTTTTTTATGACTTGTAGAGGCGACTGGACTCCAGCTCATCAATTTCCTGTTAATATAGACAAACAAAATAAAATAGGAAGGAAAAGGAGTTGAAAAAGGCTGAGAAAGATAGTCTGAAGGATATACAAATATTTCTTTACACTTATATCGGATTCTTGAGAATAAAAATTCGCTCAAGTCACTTTTGAATATGTCACGGTTAACAGTCTCGAATCACTTGCACATTAATATAAAATGTTTGTTAATAAATTAATCATTTTTGATGGATAATTAACAGCATTATAAATCGGATTATCTTGAAAAAATATGTAGTCCTTTAGTACATATCAGTCTTGATTAGCAAAATCTCAAAATTTCGCTTTTTTTAAACTGTAGTTTTGTTGAAACAATTTTATATTCATCTTCTTTCACTCAGTAGCTCTTGTTCTCAATATTGAATCTTGCTTGTGCTCTCAAACTCCCCAAATCAAATAATATATAATTTAAATTTCCGAATTATCGCTGTTATAGTTTACTCTCACTTATTTTAGCAATTTATTTATAAATTAGTAAGAATTCTTCCTCCAGGTTCCGCGTCCTCGTGGTCTGAATCCTCGTCCACCTGATCTGTTTCCACGGAACCGTCCGCGATTACCTGAAATTACAATTATAATTAAAATAAGTCAATGAATAAAAATAGCTTTTTTTTTTTAAACAATAAATAAATTAAATTTGAGTAATCTATATTATTAAGAGAATAAGAAAAAAATTTTGTGTCTAGAATAGAATCGGTTTTTTTTAGTGAAATAAGTATTTAGGTTGCATTCAATAATGCTCTATCTAAACACATATTTAAGAAATGACCTTGTATCTTGTGAACTATTGACATTTTTAAAGATATAAGCTCATCCTGAGATTACAATCATTGAGACCTTTCATTTGAGTACCCACATCAATTTTTCATATATTTATATATATATATTATTACATATTATATATATGTATATATGAGAAATATATCAAAAATACTTGTAGGTACTCAAATGAAAGCTCTTGATAAGTGTAACATCAGGATGAGCTTATATCATTAAAAAGGTCAATAGTTAAGAAAGTACAGTGCAATTCAATGAATATCTTGTGAAATATTGACATTTTTAATGATTTAAACTCACTCTGACATTGCACTCATCGAGAGCTTTCATTTGAGTACCACATCAATTTTTCATATATTTATATATATGTATATATGAAAAATATAT